TAATAATTTCCACCAAAGAAATTTAGGGCTGTGACTGGGATCTCCCTATAGCCACCCATGGCTTGGAGCCTTAATAATGTGGTGATTTGAATATTATAACACTTTCAAGCACCAGGGTTTTCTGGAATTCAGAACACCTAAAATGACATCCACATGCAGATATGTACTAAATAATTCTTATTATTGCAACTAACATTTACTGAGAGTTTACTGTATGCTAAGCACTTGACAGTAATTACTTCTACCTTCTGAGATAGATAATATTGCTATCCAACTTAAAAATGAGAAAAATGAGATTGGGCAAGGTAAATAATATCCCCATACTGTCGGAATTGCACGTGGTAATAATGGGACTTGAATATAAACCGTCAGATCAGAGAGCTTTTATTCTTAACCATTGCTGGCAAAAATGTTTGCCAAAGCCCCTACCTGTGTTTACTGCCTGAAGTGACCTTCTCTTTATTCATTTCCCTCCCCCACAGCTTCAACAATTTAATTACACCTGGCTAAGACTTATTAGACATGGAGAATGGTGCTTAGCTCCCGTTCCTGAGAAAGGGGTCCTGAGGCTGCACCCTTGCGATAACAGAAACAAAGGGCTGAAATGGCTTCATAAATCAACCTCGGTCTTTCGTCCAGAACTGGTAAGCAAGCAAAATATTTATACCTCTTCTTTACCACAAATTCAACTTTCACTCAAACGGGACATAAAACCCTCATTGTCAGTTTCCTCAATCAGAAGCTTTAAATGTGTTTGTGGCAATAGAGGCAGTGTAAAAGTTCACCCAGAGAGATAAACAGATTTTTTTTGTAAATTATCAAGAGCTTTTTTTTCTTTTACAAAATTTATTTCAAATGAGTTATTTTAAATAGAAGTTGCCAGGTTCTTATGTTATATTGCTATTGTCATCTTTGTTTCTAAAAGTCATTTGCTTCAGTCCATCAACATGCCAAATGTCAGGCTTGTAGACTAGAATTGGGTCTCACTGGTCACCAGAAAAGCTTACGGGGAGATTACATGGCGAAAGCAGAGCATTGTGCTTCCTGCACGCCCTGCACTTTAGAATGAATCTGGGTCCTCATTCTGCCTCCTTTCTATGCACAGAGACTTTTTTCTCCTCTCCTGTCGTTCCCCACAGACCAGGGCTCTTGGGGATGTACTACAGCCAGCTCTCACCAGCTCACAGGATCTGACTGTGTGCATCTCTTGTCAACTTTACATTCAGTGATACTACATTGGCAGAAATGATAGGAGCATTTATACCACAGAAACCAGCCGATGCTACTAGATCAGGGGATGTTTTTCCAGTAGTTCTGTTGTTAATATTTACCAGGAGACCCCTGTTCTATCATATTCATTTTCAAAGTCTCCTCAGTTTCTCCTGATTATATTTTAACAGGATACAAAGTCATAAACTTTGGTGTAAGATCTTGGGGTGGCTTGAATAATCTCAGAACTGCCCTTTCAAAATTTCTACCAAATCACCAGCAGGTAGCCACCAAATCCACTAAATACTTTGGGTGTATGGAGACCACCATTTTGCCCAGGGCTAGCCCCAAAGTAAGCATCATTTTTCTTGAGGTGCTTTCATTTCTTTGATGTCACAGCCAGTGACTAATCTCTTCACAACATTTTTCTGCCTGCTCAGAGCCTAGATCAGGGCCTCGGCAACACACTCCCCAATCTTCCTCCCATTGGATCTTCTCTAATTGGTTTCAATTCCTTATGGACAATTTGCTTTCTCTTTTCTTAACCCTGTGCCAAAGGAGGAAAGGATCAAGGGAGAGAGGACCAGAGGAGGGAAGGAGGGAGGGAGAGTAAGACAGAGAGAGACAGAGAATGAGAACTAAAACACATTCTTCATCTCCAGAAGTGAATCTTGGAAAACATTTCAGGCTGGTGAGAAAACATTCAGGAACACGTCTTCCTAAATGGTAAAGAAGGTAATTTAATTAAGATAGCAAAAATCAGAAAGTTGTTCCCCTACAGTGTTTGTACCTATGATGTTGTGACATGCTCCATAGCTGCCTTCTGCTTGGGTTCCTCTTTCGATGGTGCTAGATGTCATGGAGATGAGTAGCTTGGTGGTTGGCTTTCTTCTTTTTTCAGTTTTTTGATACTTTTATACTAAACCTCCTAAATTCCCCAAGGCAAGTAAGTTTTAGAGAACAAGAGAAGCGGCGAACAAAACTATGAATGGCAGAAGCAGGTATCTCCTTTGAGAAAGAAATAGGAGTTAGAAACTTCATAGAGGGAGGAAGTGAAATAGTGAGTTTGACCCTGGATACCAATCAGTTGTTAAAATTATACACTTCTAAATCTGCCTTTAAAAGATGCTCTCTAGGTCAGCCCTTCTCAAATGCTCTGGATTTTGGCCACCTTGAAGGAAATAGTCTCACAGGTGGCTTCTAGGAATTTGAGCATGGAATGCCCCTCTACCACTGGTTCCCACATCCTTAGGTTGGGGACAAATAATTTAGTTACTTCTTAACAATTCACTTGTAAAAAACTCAGAATGATTTTTTTCTCAAGGCCAGCAACCTTACAAGACCTTGAGCACACTCAAACATCATATTTCTAAAGTCCTGCAAGGATGACAATATTTTAGTAGAAGCATTATTAAAATGAATTACTATGAAAGACAACCCTGTTTGATAATTTTTTAAAATATTCCAAAACAACATATGTATAATTAAGATTATCTTTGTGGTAGTCATAAATGATTGAGAAGATTTATAAGTAAAAATATATAAAGCCATGAGTAAGTTCTAAGTAAGTTATCTACCATTTTCAGGATATTCAATAAATATTAGGCAGTAATAGATCCCTCTGAAATACCTCTGACTCTTTTCTAATGACATCTGAATTCTGGATATCGGGCATTATGTACTATCAGAGATTACAGTGTGGAGCTCATAGATAAAATACATAATTTCTAGCATTTTGTAATCCAAATGTACATTCTAAGATGAACTTAAGAAATTAACTAACTTGGGCCGGCCCGGTGGCGCACTGCTATAGTGCGCCGCTTGGGAAGCGCGGTGGCGCT